GGGAGCCCGATGCGGGACTCGATCCCAGGACCCTGGGATCATGACCTGAGCCGAAGGCAGACGCTTAACCGTCTGAGCCACCCAGGCGCCCTTTTTCCTTCTTTTCTTTCCTTTGCTTTAAATTGACTATTGATAAATACTTGCTGCTCTTTAGATGATATTTGAGAAAAGCCTACCAGCTGTGTAGGGCATGACTTCTTAGCTACCTTGACAAGCAGTAACTAGATGTACAGTTGGTTATGATATTGGCAGGTTTCTGTGTATGTGCGTTTCCCAACATAACAGCCAGAAAACTTAAGCTTTCTGTTCTGAAGATATTCATGGTTCTAAAGTCCAAGAAGGTCAACATTTTGCAAAAACCTTGTCAGAGCATCCTTCCCTTCTGGTCTCCCTCTTCATTTCTATAACTTAACAGTTAGAAACCAAATGCCATATCTGAAAATGGCATCCAGTGCAAGCTATTACTTGTTTTGTGACATTCAGAAAAGAAAATTAAGCTTAGAGTTGAGTATCTTTCAGTTAAAAAAAAAAACAAAACAAAAAACCTGTTTGTTAAATATGTACTAAGTCCTGAGATCTTTCTTGGTCTGCCATTATTTCCTGACACGGGAAGAGTTCAGGCATAGGTAGGATGAGTGCATGACAGAAATGTTCTAATATGCTCTCCACTCCAGGCTCGTGAGCTGTAGATTTCTTTTAACCTCTAACTGCTTTAGTCTGAATCCGTTACCTGTCACCTCACGATTTCCTTTCTTATATGGGATCAAGTCCCCATTCTTATGTAACCTTAATTACTTCCTTACAGCCCCCAGCTCCAAACAATAGCCACGTTGGGGTTAGAGCATTTTAAAAGGGGACACAGACATTCAGTTCATAGCACCAGCCTTGTTGAATAAGCCTCATGTCTTAGGCAGTGGCAATAAGGAGATGCCTAAGAGGCAACATTGCTTCATTATTCTTGGGCCCCTGAGTCTCACTTTCTCTGCATGTAACCTGGGGAACACTGCAACCACCTCGAGAGTGGTTCTGAAAATGACATGAGAGGACCTGTGGTGTTTGGTCCATGGTGGATGGATGCTCTGTAAACAGTAGCTACAACTTTTATTTTGTGTTTTCCCTATTAGGTATTTTATTCTTAAAATAATTTCTTGTCTTGGGGCACCTGGGTGGCTCAGTCGTTAAGCGTCTGCCTTTGGCTCGGGTCATGATCCCAGGGTCCTGGGATCGAGCCCCGCATCGGGCTCCCTGCTC